GGGGCGGGTGGGTTTATTGAAGCTTTTAACTTGTACGATAAGATTTTTGACAGAAGTCACTGTTGAATCAGTGCCTGTGAAAGCGGTTTAGCAGAGATGGTTTTTTCCTGTCTCCCACTTGCTGCTGCACTGCTCTGCTCTCCTTACACTCAAGTTGGTTGAATGAAACTAAGGGGCACTCTGTTTCATTTGCTTTTGGGTTTGTGGTTTAGTTCTTGGGCGGCAAATTAATGGGGGATGGATCTAGGGAGGTAAAGGGTACGTGTAGGGCTGTGATTTGGAGCAGAAGGGGAGGAGGAGGAAGAGGGGGTTGCTTAGGGGAAGCGTGGGCATCGAGGAGCTTACACAGTGTGAGCGTACCGACAAAGGTATTGAAAGAGGCAAAAGGCTCAAGTTTTGGATTGGGGATTGGGGATTGGGGATTATTGGTAAGGGAAGATCACCGCCAAAGACCACAGCTTTTAACCCGAACAGTCCCCCACCATCACCACCACCACCACCATTCCCCCCTTCCCTCATTTTCGGCCATTTGCCTCTTTCTGGAATGTTTCAGGTTCCACATCATCATCATCATCATATCTTCTGCGAGACAGAATCTAGGGAATACTTCCCTTGAATTACAAGTATGCCCCCCCTTCTTCCTGGATAGGATATAGTTTTTATGATTTTATTAGGGGATTCAATTTCCTTTTTCCTTTTTTGTTTTTTGCGTTCTAAGAAATTCAATTGGACACCTATAGCAAAAATTATTAGTACCAAAAATATGGGAGAGAGACAATTGTAAAATAATTAATAAAAAATTGTCGATATGGAAAAAAAATTGTTAAAGGTTAAGATAGAGTATAAGGATAATTAGAAGTACAAGAACTCGAATTACTGACCCCACCATCCATTTATGTCGACTGCTTCTTGGGTCAAAACTTTTCTTACTCCTATCAATGGCGTCATCTACCCCATGAAGCTGCAACATGAAGCATGCTGCTGTTAACAATTTAATATTGGAGAGGATGGAAAAGTGCCAGAAATTAGATAAGTTTAGTTGAAGTTAAAGGATGTTGTTAATGGAATCAAAGATAGGATTTGAGTCATCACAGTAATTGGTGAGCGACTAAGAACTTAATGCAGGACGGGAAACGGAGGAGAAATCGTTGGGTAAAGTGCAGTCACCAAAATTCCCCCTGTGGTGGCTAAAATAATGGCCGACGACGACAGTATGCCCTGATTAATTCTTCATATTTTTCTTGAGGGAAAATTGGGGGAAATGAAGAACATCAATTTATCTACTTTCTTGTGATAGGTCATTTTTCCACCCACATTAATGAATCTATATTTTAAAAAAGATATTGCAGTTATTTTATAAACTTAGTTCCTGTGATTGCTAAGGGAGAGCCGTTTTTTGCATTAATATATTTGTCTAAAAAAAAATTGATATGTTTTTTTTTTCTAGTTAAACAAATGTACGATGATAATGTTGAGGGAGACAATAAAGAAGTACAATCAATTGTGCTATTCTCGACTAGTTTATATATAGATACATGCACTAGATTCTATTTATTATATATAATTGATGTTAATAACCATTATCTTATCTCAAACAATATTTTTACAAGTAAAAGAATGTTCAATGCTCCTCGTTTCATTTAATGAGTTACTGTACAAGATATTAGATAATCAAATAATTTAACAATTCTTTTATCAATCGTTAACAATTTATATAGTTTTGTTGAAAAATCTGAGTAATTCAACTAATTTGTAAAATAATTCAGCATATTTGGATGCTGATGCATCCCCGTAGCTTAGGAATGTGAATTTCCAACAAAATGGAAGATGTAATATGGAAATCTGAATTCCTACCTCCTTGATGAACAAGGTTGGATAAAAATAAACCCAAACTTATTCTAACGCCATAGAAATAAAATGTTGATGAAAACGTTCTTTGCCCCCACAATATAAAATGACAATATCGATGGATAAAAATACCTATTACACTCTTAAGGTTGAAAGTTCGATTTTCTACTCAAAACTTTTCGTTTTTGCTAAGTTATCATCTCTTTGTCCTCCAATGCTGCAAACTTCATCATGCCAAACATAAAACACAATGATCTGATAAAGAAAGTCAATAATGAATAATGATGGTTCCTCCTCATCCATCATATTTCCCTCCTCAAAACAACTTCTGCCATTTGAAAAAATACCTAAAGTAGCATACTGTGTATAACATACCAAGTGGGTTACTAGCAAACATTTTAATTCTGTACATTACTCAGCAAGGTAATACAAAACATAATAAGTACATGATTCATTCGAGGATGAATGATGATAATACGCCTCCAGAATTCGGAATGTCGACGAAAGAAAAGACAGAAGATTGAAACTTATGGCTATGGTACGTATAACAACACTAACAAACAGCATGGTTTAGAAATGAGCCAATTTAACTCTGGGAACCCTTGATCAGGAATTGCAAAGAGAAGAAACGCCTTTCCAAAAAAGATGAAAGCCTGGAAGCTGGAAGTTCATTAAGCGTACCTGGGGGATCTGGAACACGCATTCACTTCATAACCTGCCTCTGATTACAAAGCAAGCTCCAAGTATAGATATGAAGTGAGTGCCCTATCATCCGCTCTGTAAATTTAAGATTATCTGGGTGGATATAGACTAATTCTAGACAAAATTTTTAAACCTGACGGTCAAGTATATGCACAGCGACATCACTTGCAGAAAGAAGCTGAGATTTCCAACTGAACAAACCTACCCTCCAGTTCCAGCACTGTCGGCTGCTACCTTCTCAGCTGAAGAAACAGAGTTTGCTTCACTGGAAGTTGGGCCACCTTTTTCACCCTGACCAAGTAAGCGGTTGGAATCTTGATCGGGGAAAACTTCCGATTGCAACGAGGGAGAAATGTTATTTACATGCAGCCATGTGAGCTCCCACAAGCTATCTCCACCTAGCGCACTCCTCTGAACTAGCACTCCCTTAGTTTTCATAACAAGCACTGTGTTCTTCAGGAGTTCAGGCACTAGCTCCTGAAGCTTCTCGCTTCTTTTTCCTTTGACTTTAGCTTTTGCGTACTTTTCCATTCGGCTAAGAACACCAAGCCATAGTTTGCAGAAGGTTGTTAACTGAGAAAGATCCTGGAGCAATAGTAAAAATACTTTGGACAAGAGTTTCATGGCAAGGATCAGCGTCCCTTCCATGTTTCTGTAATCTTTCTGAGTGTGTCCTTGTGCAATTTCCAATAAATCATCAAGCATTGTGAAGATCACAAGATCGAAACACTGTAACCACAAGCCATGTGGAAGGTGGATTTCATCAACGCCTGTCAAGCACTTTTGCAATGACAGCAGAGCCTGATTTCTAACCTCCTCCCTCTGATCCAAGCAAACTTTTCTCAACCCTTGCACAAGCCTCAGCCACATGTCTCCAATATCTTGCGACATTTTAATGACTTCCTCCTCCCTTGCAGCTTCCTTTCCCTCCCTAGCCCACCGTGCTAAACAATCAACAGATCCAGCCATGAGATCCAATGCACGCAAAGAACGTTCAGCTTGTCCAACACGAGACTCGGAAAATTGCCTTGAAGCATCAATGCAGAGGGTATAATTTGCTGGCAACAGGTGGGCACCGTCAGACACAATGAATAGTAGAGCATCAAATCCTGCCTCAGAGGCCTCTGGATGGCGAGCTGTAATGGAAAGTAGGGATGTTATTGTTCGCCATCCTGATGGAGATCTAATATGAGAAGCATTTGCTTTTACTAGACGGCTGACTTCCTGTGTAATTTGCTCACAGTATGCATCGGCTACCCGAGCATCTAGCTTCAAGACAAGTTGCAGAGACCTCAAAAGTTCATCAGCAAGGTTCTCTTTATAAGGCAGCAAGCGCTGGCAGATCCGGAGAAGTCCAAAAACAGCTTTCTCCACCAGGGCACAAGGCATGACAGTTGACTGCACAATGTTAGATATATGATCATAAACACCCGGCCAAAGAAGCACAATTCTATCTCGGTTATTTAGAGTAATGGCAATCAACAATTCCAGGCAGAAGACTGCTGTATCTTCATCCTCTGGAGAACTGTTTCCTTTCTGAGGCCGTCCTGCTGCCCATATGAGTGCTTGTGCCAGCTGTAATAAAGATTCAGCCTGAAGAAACTTGCTCTCCGTAAAAATGCTGTCAATATTGCACTTTTGAATAGTCTGAAGGGTGCGCTGATGAGCAGCAAGTTGTTGTTCGGTAGGCTGAGACCTTGGCTCCTCATTGTCAAGAGATAAGAGCTGACTGAACCGGCCCATCAATCCAGAGGATCTCTTGGGAGTACCAACTGACTGAATATGAGCAGCAGATAAAGAACTTGTAAGAGGCTTTCCATGTCCAGTGTCGGAAGAAAGTTCTGATTCATCAGCTGCATCACTCGCCACACGAGCTGGCAAGAGACCAAGCTTGTGCAATCGTAAGATGCAATCAAGGATATTTCTCCAGCCTGAACGAATGAAGTCGCCATACATGTTGGCGATGTTGAAAACTGTCATGGTAGCCATCCTAGCCTTTGTATCATCACCAAAGGCAAGCACAGGCTCCTCAACAGATGATGGGTTCATGAGGGTTGTGAACTTGCAGAGGGACACAACAAGATCGTCAAGTACATCTTCAAGGTGATGACATGCGGAGATTTTTGCAACAGCTAAGAATCCATCAATACATGTTTGATAGACTTCTTCATGTTCTGCATGATCAAATACCACAGATATAGCCGCAATTGTTGACCCTGACATTATAGCAAACATATCACGATCAAGGTAGGCTTTAGAATCAGACACGATGAATGGAGAGGATTTCTTGGATTTATTCATCAAATCGATCCATCGGCTTGGGGTCATTTCAGGAAAACCATTGCCTTGCTCCGGAATAGTACGAATCTCATTCTTACAGATTGAGTGATACAACTCGGAGAGGAAATCTCTTGGAAGATCATTGCCTCCATTTATGTGCCTGCTGTTCCGAATGAAATCTTCTTCCGTCATCTTCTTTTTCACTTGAACATTGTGCTGATCTGTATTCAGCATTATAAGTGAATAAGAAAGTAGAAGAGCAGCATCCTTATTCACAAGAATTTGAGGCGACTGTTCATAATATCTCTCAGAAAACGCCTCAAGCACCCTTTGTATCTTCTGTGATTCTCCCGGGAGTCTGAAAGTTTCCAAAAATAGCCGCAATGCAGTATCCAAATTCATGTCCTGAAAATCAAAAGTCCCAGCAAATTCATGAAGAACCTGGACGCAAAACTCATCATGATTTCCAAGGAAGTCCCCAACCAGATTTTTATCCAAACCAGCAGTGAACCTGAAAAAGCAGGCTACACTTTTGGGATCAAGTTTATCAGGCAAGAGGTGGGTTCCTTGAAGAAACTCCAGTCCTTTCTTGGGATCACGGTTAAAGTGATCAGCTCCAATCATCAAACGTCTCTTGATGTACTTTTTCCTTCTCACAAATGGAACCCATTGATTAGGATCATTATAGTTTTCACACTTTACCATCCAGAAAGGAGTATATTCCTCAAGGTTCACAGGAGTATTTTCAATGCCAGTTCCATGACCTATCCTCTCTGCCATTCCCTGAATAACGGCAATAAGACCATCCAAAGCAAGGATATGCATTGAAGACAAAGGACAATTAACTGGAAAAGCACTCTTAGACAGAAGATTAGCAAGATCTTCAAAGACATTACTGCAAGTTATGTCACAATCTAAGTTTGCATACATCTCCACCATAAATGTTTTCTGCCTGCAGAAATCGACAAGAGCCTCCATAGCGACCTCCTGCTGCTGGTATGAAGCCCCATACCTGGTTTGGACAAGTCTCAAAATGACACATGAAAAGAAAGCCTCAATCTGCAACTTCAGCTCAGTTCGCAGATGGTGGTATAGATTGAGAACAATGCTACAAACCATTGAAAGGATTAGCGAGCTTGTTGACAAACCAAATTGCATAAGGTTTTGAAACAATTCATCTTGGATTAAACTCAATAACCTAGGGTGATGGCGGAAGGACGGGCCACCTAGCTCTATTGCTGAGTTTAGCAATCCCAAGGCAAAAAGAGGAACATCTTCATCAAAAGCCATGGTATTTGATCTACCTCCCAACTCCATATGCTCAACTAGATTTAGCAATGAACAGAGGAAACGAAAAATTTCTACCATGCAGGGGACCCCATAAGGTTCATTCATAAGATGAAGGTCAAATGGAACCGTATCCTTCACATTACCATCCTCAAGTAAATTTTCATCCATCCCAGTTGCCAACGGAGCTGATGAAGAATTAGAGTCAAAATTGTTGGATGACGATTGACCATCAAATTCATGGCCCAAGTTTCCATTCTCCAACAGTCTGCTTCCAAGCACATAGTCATCATTAGACCCCCTACCAGCCTGAACAAGAGAACATGTTTCATGAATCAATTTAACAATTTTGTGCTAATTTTTGCCGAAGAGCAACTTAACAATTTCAATATAACATAATATGAAAACCAATATATATAAACACACAAACGTGTTTGAAAACATGTTTTAAAAGGCTAAAGGTGCTGTCCAGGCTTTATATCTAAAAGAAGTGATCAGCCTCATTCTAAACATAAAATATATTAATAAAAACATAAAAAAAGATGCAAAACCATGTAGTGTGGACAAAATGATTATTGTTATATACAACTAAAAATATATATATATATATATATATATATATATGTATGTATGTATATATATATATGTATGTATATATATATATATGTATGTATATATATATATATGTATGTATATATATATATATATGTATGTATGTATATATATATATGTATGTATGTATGTATCCATCAACTTTCACTTCCTTAGACTAAAATTCTAAGGCTCATTCTCCACAAGCATCATCATCAGTGTGACTAATAGGATTAACATACTATTTAACATTTGCCTCCAATGTTTTTTAGTTACAGTGACAGGTGGAGTTTCTATTTTGAAGAATAGGCAATAGACTGATTTTATTGCTCTACATATTCCATTTGGTATAAGCACTTTAAACCTTAGTGTGTTCTCATGGAGGTATAAGCCGATTGGACACTTGAGCTGAGATAAAAAAAAAATTTAGCTTGATTGTGAACCAAGAAATACAGAAGAAATGTAGCTATCAAGAAATACAGAGAAGAAATTAGTACCTCCTGCTTGCTGGAACTATTGCCATTGACCAATGCGTGTTCTGTGGTACTGATTTCTGACAGATGTGAAAAGGTACACCTGACAAGCTCATAAACTGTGTGGCGAGCTATCCGCTGCAATAGCTCACCCTTTGTGGCTGCCTGATGCACTATGCGGAAACAAGTATTAACAATGGTGCAGACATGCTGATTGCTCAACATAATGGATGCCTTATTTTTCATACAAGCAAGAAGAACCTGAAGTATTTTCATCAGGACCATTTCTTCTGATGCTGGATCTGTTAACTCAAATCTACAACAGCTAACAGCATCAACTATCAAGTGAACAGAATCTCCAGCGTTAACAGTATTTTGATCAATCATGTCAAGAGTTAAAATCTTGTACACAGAAGATAAAGCAACCCCAGTAATAGGTGCTCCAGTTTCGTCCGATCGAATTACATCTAAAAATGGTTGAAGATACACAGCAGGGTTGATTGTATGCCATGGATGCTGCCATGTATATATCTGCTTTCTTAGTGACTTCAGTGATTGAATTAAGGAGTGTTCCAATTGATCATCACCTGACATATATCGACCTCCCCATCTTACATTTCTTCTCATAACTGCCAATACAGCACCAATTTCAGAATTAATCATGCAAGCTAAAGCAGTTTTATTCGTATATGTGACATCACACTCCTCAGGTTCTTCCTCGATTGCATTGATTCCAGTTTGCAGCTTCAGGCGCCCCATCTTTGGGAACGTTCCCTTCACAGTACTAACGTTTACCAAGTACTGTGAGAAGATTGAGCAGAAACCTTGCTAATGTGCACAATCACTGCTTACATGGAGAAGAGAAACATATTTATTAGCAATTGTAAATTCAATGAGCTCGACGGCTAAAAGTTGGCACGAGAATTCTAGCTAAAACTTTACCAAAAAGAAAGGTGCACTAGCACAGTTCCAAATAGAAAATTTCTCTAATCAATTTTAATAATGAAAAAAAAAGCTAGATAACCCTCCAACGCTGAATTCTAGGTTCCACTAATTGAATGAATAATAGATACCGTGGATTTCGTAAGTTCATTATAATGAGGAATTCATCCCGCAAACCACATCCCACGAAGACTCATGGGAGCAATCATGCTAGGGGGCAGCTCATTCCAAGGAAGTAGTTGTCTAAAACTGTTTTTTGTTGTTTATATCAGGAATTTCATTATTTTACCTATTTTTTTAGGTAAAAAACAGAGCTTTCATTGAGAGAAATGAAAGAATTTACAAAGGAACTAAACAAAAAGCCTGCAAAAGGACTTCTCAACTAGTTACAAGAACGAACTCTAATCCAAAAGAATTATACCAAGCTTATAATTTTACAAGAAAACCAGTTAACAGATGCCATAAAGACGCTCTAAACCTCACAACCTCACAACCTCACACACCTCCTCTCGAGACCTCTCCAAATCTCTAAAAATTCTACTATTCCTCTCAAGCCACATGCCCCATAAAATAGCTAAAGATATATTGCAGGAAAGGTTCAAAGCATGAAGGAATATTCTGGCCCCAAATTTTTTTTTTTTTTCAAGGAATAAGAGAAGGTATAAAAGCATTGAAAATGCCTTGCCCATCAACTTATCAGTGGATTAGCAAGCTCCACACACCTGAATACATTGTAGAAGTAATATATTTACATAGGCCATCCAAACTATTTAATAAGGAATATTTCTCCCTGTGTGCCATTCGTGGAGATTGAAGCAAGCAAGGGGATGAGCCAGAGTGGGGATGAGAAGATTGCAAAGAAATGTAACTAAAGAAATAAGCAACAAAAGCTACTTATTTCATCGGAAACTTCACTGAAAAAATTGTCATTTACACTAGTACAAAGTGCATTGGTTCCAATAACTGCTACACTGTCGTTTACCGTAATTGTAGTCCTCTAGTCCATGGCTGGATAAAAGTTTGAAATACGAACCTTCGTTTTCGCTCTCCGATATTCATATTTCAAATTCAGAAGGGGAACAGTTTATAGAGTACGAATCTCGTTTCTACAGCGAGGAAAAGGGTACTCAATCTTGTATTTGGATCCAAATTCCCCACAATTTCGAGAAACCCAACAAATGCTACCTAAAGCGCAATGAATTATATCTCGTCAAAGAGAAAATATCAAATTACATCCGCGTCGATTGGGGGCGGGGCGTAGTTCTAAATAAAATACAGTACGTTATAGTAACTTCCTAATCAACCAAACAAACGGTAATAAGGGAAAAAATGTAAATCCAACTCGTTCACTCTAGGGACATAGATATACAAGAAAATGCGTATATACAAATGAAACACAGAAATGGTGGCCGAAGATCTAAAAAGCAATGAATTACCTGAGATGCGAAGAGGAGCAAAGCCGGTCAACATAGGCAGGAGCAAAACCAGAGATCTAGGGAGAGATTAAAGAGCTTCATTTTTTGGCAGTGCGCACTCGATCTGCCATCCATGGCCTTGGTGCAAATCACAACGAAAAATGCCTAGTAAACAAGAAATCTTGCATAAACTACGAATCATCAAACTGAAAACGGATCCACGGGAAACTAGAATTACCTAGATCAGAACAAATTGGAAAACAAAATGATAGAGAGGCGGCGTCGGAATAGGCACGGCCAGAACAGCGGTCCGTTTTAGCGTCTACGACAGTGCAACTGGAGGAGGGAGGGGGGATTGTGAAGAAGGAAAGAGAGAAATTTTGAGAGACAGAAAGGAAAGTGTAGTACTTGGAATATGAATTTACATTTTATTTTTCTTTTTGCATTGAATTTACTCCTCCAATATTTTTAAAAGTCTTTATTATATATTATTATAACTTGTAACTAGGTAAAAATAAATAAATAAATAAAATAGTTCATCCTATTATCAATTTTTTTATGCAATAAAAACTTGTTTACACAATTCTCCTTGTAATGGTTTTAAATAGTTTTAAGATTTTTTATTTTATTTTGTTTTGTTTCCTTCCAATTTCTATACGGTAGTTTTTCATATTTTTTTAAATACGAGTTTTTAATTAAATTCTAAAAATAAAAATAATGGTAACAAAAAAAATATATATATATATATGGTTGGGAGTGATGTATTAGCTTAATTTTCAATATTCTAAAACTTTCGATTAATTTAATAATATTTAGTTGACGATCGAGTTGTGATGATTGATGGCATGCATAGCGGAGTCTCCAAACTAAATTATTGGTAATTTTGAGGTGTGATTTTCACTTACTTGTTTTAATATTTTTTAAGATTCAAGCAAGGATAATTAAATCAATGATTCAAACAAAATTAATGAGTATTTGTATCTCGCAAGTCATAAAAAATGGGTGTTGTAATGAAGCATATCGAGAGGATGTTGTCTAGAGTGTCTCAATGTTCAAAATCGTACAACCAAACCTGAGTACCCAAGGCAACATCTATCGACATTATTGTTTGGATGCATGAACCGTCTTTTGAATGAATTCTTCTAAAGTTTCTTAGAATAATGTGTGGATTAAATTATAATGATTTGGGTTGTTTGGGTTGAGTTTAGTTTTAATTTTATATTTTCTAAACCTATGCTCCCACAAAGGAACAAAAAAGGAAAGAATATGTTCCTGAAAATCAATACAGCACAGACAAATAAATGTGAGATAAATTGGTTTTGGGATTTACAATTTGTGATTGGAAACAGCAAGATCTAGAGCTAATCCAAATTCAAAGATGGCGGAGGCAGGCGTCAGTTCCGGAAATGCCCGATGGTCTCTCAAGGGCTTCACAGCGCTCGTCACTGGCGGCACTCGTGGAATCGGGTCTGCTAAATTTCTAACTCTATTTCCTCTGAAATCCTCTTTCTGAGTTTGAATTTGGATTCTCTTCTGTTCTGTGTGCGATTTTGTGTGTGTTTTATAGTCGCGCTGTGGTGGAGGAACTGGCCGGTTTAGGCGTGTCGGTCCACACCTGTTCCCGGAACGAACTGGAGCTCAACCAGTGCTTGAAGGAATGGGAGGGCAAAGGCTTTGTGGTCAGTGGTTCGGTTTGCGATGCTTCTTCGAGAACACAGAGAGAGAGGCTCGTACAGGAAGTGGCGTCTGCTTTCAATGGCACCCTCAATATTCTGGTCAGTAATAGTATGCTTCGCCCATTTTAATTTTAGAGAAGCCATTTGCTAACAGTGTTGAAATTGGGTGTTGTTTGGTGCATGGCTTTGGGTTGGGAATTGAAGCCCTTATATCACTTACATTTTTACATTTCAATGCCATTCTAGTTCTGCGTGTACGTTAGCTTGGACGCTATGAAAGAAAACACAGATCTAATATATTAATATGTTGATGGCTTGAACTCCATGAAAGATAACAAAATGGCAGCAAAGTGAGACAAACTTTAGACCTTGACCGAAATGATGAATTGAAACCACTGAAAAGTGATATAAAGTAAGTCATTATAGGCAGGTGCTATAATTTTTCCATACTTGACGTCCACGAAATATTCAGTGCATTGCAATCAAACAATTGAAACTAGGAACAAGAAAGCCTTCTATTGACCTCAAGTGATTCAAACCCTCCATTTTGAAAGCAAGAACATCTCGTTGTTGGCTCCACAATGAAAAACATAATTCTAAGGAAGTTGCCTTCCAGGAATTCTAAACCTACTAGATATTGTTCTCTTTGGACTTTTCTTTTTGGATTTCGCCTCAAGGTTTTTAAAACGCATATGCTAGGGAGAGGTTTCCACACCCTTATAAAGAATGTTTTGTTCTCCTTTCCAACCGATGGGGGATCTTACTGTATTTTAGTGTAGGTAAATAATGTGGGAACAAACATCAGGAAGCCAAGTATTGAGTACAGTCTGGAAGAATTTTCGACATTGATGACTACGAACTTTGAATCAGTATTTCATCTATCCCAACTTGCTCATCCTCTTTTAAAAGCTTCTGGAAATGGAAGTATTGTGTTTGTTTCTTCGGTTGGTGGTCTCGTGAGCATTGGAAGTGGATCCATCTATGCAGCCTCTAAATGTGAGTTGCTATTGTAGAATTGTAGCTTATTTTCCTTCGTACGTTCTGAGAAGCTCAAAACTGTTCTTTTTTATTTTCTACTCTCAGCTGCAATGAATCAACTGACCAAAAATCTTGCTTGTGAATGGGCCAAGGACAATATCAGGAGCAACACTGTTGCACCCTGGTATACCAATACCCCCCTTGTAGAAAAGGTAATATTTTCAACAACTCCTGCCAGATAATTCACTCATATTAGTTTATTTTTTGCTCTCGTATCCTCTTTCTGTCTCCTCGTTTGATTCCTTCTTGTCATTAGACTGACTGACCAAGGCATGAGGCGCTCTGTCATTAATCTCAGTATCTGGGATGCTTTCAATCTGATGCATCTTTCTGTGAAATCTCTATGAATGTCAAATTGATTAATTGAGTCACCTCGGCAAAATATGACTTGGTAACTGTTGTTCAAGCTTGAAAACATATGGTCAATTAATGGCATTGTTCTTTCTGTCTTTCTTGTTTATCACGCTTCTGTTTTTGTGCCTTTTTTTTTCCCCTGATTGAAGGCTGCCCATGTAAAAAAAAAAAAAACATGCCCTTTCGTGCGGGTATGAGGATATGAATCTTAGTGTGCACGAACACGCAATTCCATATTTTTAATAGTGTACATTTTGATGCTGAAATTTATTTGTACCAACATTTTGCAATTCTATATCTTTGAGTCCGACATCTTTCCATCTTTAGAACCGAAGAACACTGTTGTACAATCTATAGAACAAATTCTGTTCAAATAACCTGGTCTGAGATTGTCCATCTTTGTTGCATCTTTTTTCAGTTCAACCCCTAAACCTGTTGAATGTTAACTAATAACAATGGTTATTATCGTCGTAGTTGCTTGATAATAAGACGTTCGTGGACAAGGTAGTCTCTCGAACTCCACTTGGGCGAATAGGGGAATCAAATGAAGTGTCCTCGTTGGTGGCATTCCTTTGCATGCCTGCTGCATCTTACATCACTGGACAGATTATTTCTGTTGATGGAGGGTTCACTGCCAATGGGTTTGAGTCTGGTATGAGACTAGAAAGCTTGTGAAACATGCTTCTGCTTCTTACATCACTGGGCAGACTATTTCCACAATAATCTTTTATGCTTATCATGTTTTTCTCAACTCTTTCAAGTTTTATGTAAACTCTATGTAATAATTCTAAATAATTTAATGTGCACAATCTTGAACTAAAAAAATAGTTTTAAAAGTTTTATTTTAGGGTCTTATGCACCATGGAAATATACTCTTAAAATTTATTGAGAAAATGTTAATACATGCTATTTTTTTTAATAAAAAACTAACAATAAACAATCGATAGGGACTTAAGATTTGATATAATTACAAATACTAAAATTTGATATTTTAAAGTACAAAAAGTACACAAGAACGGACTAAATTGACAATTTAACCTAAACAAATTATAACGGAAAACATGAGAAATGTACTACAAAAAAAATTATTAAAAAAGATTGAATGAGGATTGAATGTGTTTCTGATGCTTGACTTGGTGTATGATCAATTGTTTACAATCTATAGTTCTCCAATTTGCAGTCAAGCTGCAGTGATGCTATGCCATCTACCTTCTTCTAAACTTCAAGAACAACCCACTATGGCACCAAATCTACGCTTTCATATGCTGTACCATCTGACGGCGCCAACCAAATGAAGACCAGCGGTTGTGTGCCAAAGCATACATTAATTTGATGCTTTCTTCATCTCTGTAGGTGGGAAATTAGCCTGTGTTTACTCCACTTGCTTCTCATTTTCAGTAATGAGCTAAAGGACTTGGTACTTAACTCAGCACATCCTGCAATTTTCGCGTACGAATCGGGCGTTTTTCACCAACCAGTATCCTATAGCTCGCATGAGGCCCCTCGGATGTATGACGCAGGGCAACATGCCAACCCATTGCCTTTCCAATGGTTTGAAGCTCATCCATGACAGCAATAGTATCGCGAATGTATACATGGCCCCCAGGTCTTAAGATCCGTTCCATCTCGAGCATGATTGTCGACATATTGCATCTGATATCAGTAATTAAAGAGAGAAGGAAGTAAGCAACAGAATTTAAAGTGTGAGGAATTACGTCGACTATGACACCAATCTATACCCATAAGGTGTACCTTTTCATTTCGGATGAAAAAAGACCAGCTGCATGCAATAGATCATATGTTCTTGGGTATGTATCGAAAGGTTCGCACCTGATAGATACATCACAGAGAAGCTGTCAAACAGCTTGCATTCATTTTCCTATCTATATCTTGGATTAACATACAGGAAGATTTATGTAATTCATTATCTAAATTGACTTGGCCATCAAAGTACCACTCTGTTAATGTAGTTTTAGAGTCTCCTATGGTAAATATATAGATATATTGTTTGAGCAGTTTTACCAATCATGAAGAACTCCGAGAAGTCCACGGTCATATATAACGGGTAAGGTGTTCGGTCCACTCACGGGGACAACATTCATCACCCACGAATCCAGTTTATTATCAATTAAAGCTGCAGCAAACCTGCCAAGTGACAAAAATAAAGAGTAAATAATGGGAAGATAGAAGGATCCAGCTAGATGTTTGTATACTAACCCTCCAAATCCAGCTCTCATGTCCATTACATTCCTTAGTCTTATCTTCTTCCAATGTAATACACGCACATAGCTTTCTATAATTTCATTCCAATATTTAGATTCGGCCCTGAAGAGCTCATTTCTAGAAATATAGGCATCATATTGAATGCTCTGAAGCCTATCTGGAGGAGAATGTAAACGTGCAGGCCATGTCGTGACGTTTCTTCCAAAACCATTTTCTGGCAGTCTGGTAATGCAAGGCTTCAGATCCACATACCTTAACATGACCAAATGTAGAAAATCCAACAATTAGAAACATAGTTGTAAGAAAAGTCTTAAACTGTTCTTTTACCCGCTTGTTCAGAACTTACTTGACATACAATATAAACTAAGCATATAAGTGCACTGAGAACTGATCATTTGAGGCTTTTTTATAGGTTTGTTTCAAACAAAACGCAACGTTTATCGAAAAAGAAGTATACAGTTCGAAAAGAAAGCAGCAAACTGGATTTCTAATAAACTGGGCTGTACTTTCTATTTAGTGAAGAAAAATAAATGTATATTCACCCACGCAACTACCGTATCATCAAAACAAATGAGAATAAAGTATGCATACCAAACTTTATCTGGATCATCATCTACATCACAAAGTGGAGGCTTAACTCCTGAATCACGGCTAAGATAGCAGCTGTTATTCATTGGCTTTTTCCATATTGCTATATACCCATCCTTTTTCACAAACTCCCAGCAGAGACGAGTGGTGAGGTTAATCATCTCTGGTAAGATAAAAAATGAGAGTTGTATTTAATATGGAAAGTTTTGAAGACAAAATCATAAGAGCTATAATACTTATAGACCAGAATATGATAGCCATTAAATAGATGGTGGAACAGATATGTTAAATATAACTACCCAAGCCCACTGCTAGCAAATATTGTCATCTTTGGGTTTTTCCTTAATGTTTTTAAAATGGCATCTGCTAGAGAGAGGTTTCCACACCCTTATAAGGAATCTTTCATTATCCTCTCCAACTAACCAATGTGGGATCTCACAATCCACCCCTTTGGGGTCCAGCGTCCTCGCTAACCCACCGCCCGATGTCTGGCTCTAACACCATTTATAATAGCCCAAATCCACTACTAGCAAATATTGTCCTCTTTGGGCTTTCCCTTCTGAACTTTCCCTCAAGGTTTTTAAAACGCGTCCGCTAAGGAGAGGTATCCACACCCTTATAAAGAATGTTTCGTTCTCCTCTCCAACCAATGTGGGATCTCACATCAAATCACCTTACCAACTATCTATATTTCTTATATTGTCATACCAATTTTCTTGAGTTCAGTAGATAGAAACACAAAACAATACTTGAGAGCCAGATTAAACAAACTAGCCAATTACTTTGATGAAGACGAACGAAAAGAGATAAATCGGCTGCAAACGAGGATATAAAAAGACTTCACAAAGTCATTGCAGAATTTGACGACTCTGACTAACCAAAGGCATTAAGTTGGAAGAAATAGCCAACGGACACTAAAGAGCCATAGACAGACCTTCCCACTGCCGCTCCAAGGCTTCTTCATGCTTGTAAACAGGCTGTGCTGCCCAAGCAAAGTATCCTCCCGCCCTTAGCATTCTGTCAACCTCCAGCAACAGAACTCCATCTTAAAGCCAGAAGATTTAAAGAAAATTTAACAATCAGAAGACCTTACAAACAAGAATTCTTCATTGAAAGATGTAACTATTACAATTTAATAGATTGGATCAATAAATCTTCAATAGAAAACATAGCATGAATAAACAGATGTTGATAAAGAGGAGTGATGAGAGGATCATACCATCACGAGTCCAATTAATTCTACATCTAGAGCAATGTATCAAGTCAAAAGCTTGACTTGGATACAGTAAACGGCGAGTAGAAAATGCTGCAACCATTGCAGGAACACCACGTTCAAGAGCAAATTGAATCTGGTTCTCATGAACATCTTTGGGAGCAATGGACATTGTTACTACATTCCGTGATAGCAGGTAGGCACCAAAACTCGCAACACCGCACCCAATATCCAAAACCACTCGTGTATGGCGACCAAAAGCAACATCAGGAATAATCTATACAACGGACAAGAAGTTAATCATTAGAAAAGAAAAATAACCCAAGAGCTACGTTCAAAGTGCAGCAATTGTCTAATGATTTACCTTAGAGATATGATCCAAGTACTCAGTTGCCCCATGAATGAACTGTGTACCTCCTCCAGGGAACCTAAATTTATCTTTGTCCCGGGAAATCCAGTTTTGACCGCCTTTGTCTTCAACCAAACGGGTATGAGGAACATTACGGAACCACACCTACAACATAGTAAGTTCCAGCTATTAAAACCTTGGGAGACAGTACTATTAAAAGTGACTTGAAATCTTCTACTCTCCACTTCAAGAAAAAAAGAAGTGAAACATAGAATCTGGGTATCAAAGAAACTGTGCACAAATGAAAATTATAAACTCAAGGTTCTTTAAACAAATCAGTCAACGTTTATGAGCATAAACTATTAAAACTGATGGAAGATCATAAAATAAAATAATATAGCAATTAATAGGAAGCATGAAATACAGCCTGCAGGAATACCAGAACATCATTTTTAATAATATAACAGCAGAGCAGCTTACCAATTCAACTAGAATAATGTCGCTCAATGACACGAGTCATTTTAATATGAGAATAAGCTTCAAGTTATAATACAGATCAGATGAAATCTATGTACTGCACAAAACAATACCTCATCACGGCTCCTCGGCCAGGGAATGGGTGTCCGGTATCCTTTCGGTGCTGGAACTAAGCAGTTCAATCCCTCACCAACACCAGGGCAATGGCGCTCGAACTTTTCCCCCTTTTCCGTCGACTTCAGCTTCTTAATGGCAGCCACATTATCCAAGCAAGGTATGTACTCCCCCATGTTCAGCGGGCAAAAAGCAAACTTCTTGATCGTAATCTTGATAGGGCCACTATTATCCGTCCCATTCTCGATCTCATTCTCCCAATTCTCCGTAAACTCGAGATCTAAATTTCCCACCTCAAACTCGTCAGCCATAGTTCCATTCTCGTTCACGATACCAAATCTGTGCAATGAATTAGATGGCGGAGGTGGCGGAGGTGGCGGAGAAGGAAGCGGCGGCGGAGGAGGAGGGGATGAACTGAGAATCGGAGATGGGGTCGGGGCCGGGGCCGGGGCCGGGGCAGAAGAAAGGGCTTTCTCCGGAGCTGCACGGGTTAGATTCTGCTCGATCAGAGAAGAAACATTGAAGGGGTTGTCGTGATTAGGCGACATTGACACTGAAGGAGGAGAATATCGAGTTTCAGTGAAGAAGATGAGCTGTGGGTACCCATCAGACCAATGCTTGCCCAGATAAAAGAAAGAGAGCGATAATAGAATGAAGGTAGAGATCTTGAAGATCGATGGGTTCTTCAGCGAATCGAAATTAGAGAAAGGATTCATTCTCCGTTCACACACCCAAATGGGCAAACGAGAAAGTGAACGGAAAACAGAAAACTGAAGAGATGGTGTTCTCCTTATTCACTGAAACAACCGGAATTACAGAGCTACAGACTCTCCTTTCACCGGCCAACAGCTGCAAGCTTCCGACCGGCAAGGCTTTCGCGGAAAGAAAGAAAGGGCGCTGAGAATTACCCGCCACAACTCTGAGGGTTGCAAAGAAATTGAAGATGGTTAGAAGAAAAAGCTTCAAGAGTGAAAACGGCGACTTTGGCCGATCGTGACTCGGATCCCAACCGTGTTTTATTCAGCTATCTCAGTAGGTAATTGACAGAAATAGCACAAAATATTTGATTTTATATAAAGATCACAATTTTTAAGAAATTTGTTCTCATAAATTCTAAAATATTTTGTACAATTCCTAGACAATTGTCCCATTCCAATGCCCTTCCTTTTCCTTTTTCTCTCTCTATTTTTTAATACTCAAATTATAATCACAAGTTCAGGAAAAAAAAAAGTTCTAATATATAAATTTGAAAATTATAGACTAAGAAAAAGTTTTTGATCATTGAATTACATATAGAATAATAAAAAATTTATATTTTTCTTTTCGTTTCTTTTTAAAAAAATTAACTTAAATTATAAATTTTAAATTTTAAAATTTGTTTAGAAGTTTATAGTTGCCTTCATACTCACTTCAAAATATTTTCATCCAACATCCAAATATTATCAACAAGTGATAATTATATGGTACAACATCAAGGTTCTTCAAATCACCGGTTGAAGTTATCTATCACTTTTGAACAGAAATACACCATTTTTAAGAGCTAAAACAGTTGAATCCTAGAGAAAGTGAAGCTCTTTCTTCTAGTTCTAAATTATGAACAGATATCAGGATTTATAATATAGGATTTCTTCCTAATACTCTCTAACCATTAAAGAATGAATGAGTAGATACATGAATGTACATGCCATATGGATGAAAGCTATTGTCTATGCATTTACAAATGAACCTACCATTTTGAAAGGAGCAGCAGCAGCAGCTAACTAACAAAATTTTGCAGAGGCTACGAATTTATGTGGGCGATTCGGCCAAAAGAAGGGTGTGCCACCATCCACAGGAAACGTTTTTCGGAGTGCAATTCTCCATTGGGACTTCGACGGGAATGTTACGGTCGATTACGTCGCCCAAACCTAGCTGCATTGTGTAAATGGAGACTTCTAAGATCCTCAATACCAGATCTGATCTTGGGGAACAACTTATAAACATGCATTTAGACAGAAACCACAAAATATACCTGGCCATACTTGTTCCATCCCCAGCAGAATACTTTCCCATCCTCTAGAGATTGGAGAAACAAGAATGTCGGAACGAATATCGCATAAAAATGTGTATCAACCAATCAAATGTATTCAAATAGAGTGCAGAAAGTTGAGGACAGTCCAAATATATCATATTTCTTTAGTAGTTCTTGGCCAAGGAAAAAAAGGTATATTCTAACCACACAAACCTACTGCTGCTGGCAAATATCTTTCTCTTTGGGTTTCTCTTTTGGGCTTCCACTCAAGATTTTGCTAAGAAGAGATTTCTACACCCTTATAAACAATGTTTCGTTCCCCTCTCCACCCCCAATCCACCCCCTTTAGGGTTCAACCTCTTTGTTGGCACGTCGCCCAGTGTCTGGCTCTGATACCATTTGCAACAGCCCAAACTCACCGCTAGCAGATATTGTCCTTTTAGACTTTCCCTTTCGGGCTTCCCCTTAAGGTTTTCAGAACGCGTCTGCTAGGGAGAGATTTTCACACCCTTATAAAAAATGCTTACCCTCTCCAACCCCAACCGATGTGGGATCTCACATATATCTTCATTTTTTTACCTTTCTTTTTACTAGAATATTTGTCGATGACCACTTTTTAGTTTTCGTCTCTGCCTAAATCTTAGCTTTGAACTCTGATACCATCATTCTTCATGATTTGTCTCATTTATACTTAGAGTACAGACAATTGAACTTTTTCATCTCTGTAAATTGAAGGCTGGATCTTGTGAATCAGAAAAATGGAAGCCATGTGTAAGAAGATAATGAAGTACCTGATACTATAGCACTATGACGAGCCCCACATGATACAACCTTTGCATTTACATTTTCCACACTTGGTGCGTCTACAAGTCTTGGAAGTGTCTGCATATATGATTGAAAACATCAATTACTTTTTTCTACTTAAGATCGCATACTATCATAGTACTATAACCAATTATGATACGACATGTTAAGGCAAGCATCGACTACAAAAGCATATACCTCAGATTGATCACCACCCGTTCCTAACTGCCCGAATTGATTACCGCCAAATGAATATACATCACCGTTGGAGGATATACAGACCGTGTGCCACAGTCCAGCAGCGACACTCTCGATCTGGATACCGAGTAATGAGGATACACATGTTGGACTTAACTCGTCATCTGTACATCCTTGCCCACACTGTAAGACATAGATTAAGCCAAGAATATAGCAGCAGCACAAGAAATAGAGATTAAGTATGGGAAAAGGAACAGAAAGAGTTATCTCTTTTTGATTGAACTTGATCTTGATCTACATCTACATATCTTTTTCTCCACCATTTTCTACTTTACCTACAGATTGGTTCTGAAGATTGGTCAATTGTCAATATAGTAAACTTCAAATCATGTTGGGTTGTAGGAAGGATCAAACTGTTTAACTCAAATTTGTTGGCCTCACATCATACATACAACGAAGCAATAGGAGCTTTCAGTTAAATGGCCTATCTTCCAACCAGTTTGTTCTAAATCAAACGTTCCAGTATCACAGGAATGCATGTTTTGTCATTCAATGGGGTTAATCAGAAGAGGGGGAAGAATAAGATGGCACAAAAAGCATTTAGATGGAAAAGGAAAAATATTCCAAGAATATATTCATTGAGGTCCACCATCACTTGAAAACGATTGGATGAAACGATTGGATGGTGAACAACCAGCACAAGAAAGATGCCCAAGTGTTGACTAATTGCAGATTCCTGGTGAAAACCATTAACAAACGAATGCAATAAAAGGTATGCAAAAAATGATCACAAGTAAGAAATGGAATGTGTTAGAACGTTGGGGAAGAGATACTGAGAATGAACATAATCATGTAACAAACGAAAATGAAATTCTCACAATGAAGGTTAGAATGAACGAAAATGAAGCACGTGTTAAAATGACACGATAAATTCACCTGTCCGTACAGTCCCCAACCAAACGTTAGCAGTGCCCCTGCATCTGTGTCGTAAAAGATGAGAGGAATATCAAATATGTGAAGTCTATAACTTCAAGTGGACAGCATGAAAATCACAGAGGTATAGATTAATCAAACACCAATATTTCATTACAATACGGAAATTGATGCATAAAACATGATCTCTGAGGTCTTTTAGAAAAACATAATCTCAATGTTCAAAAGGTGCAAGTTCTTGCAGTCTCAATTTCATTAATCTACCTATCAAATCTATATGATCCGAAATTACAAGTACAGATTAAAGTTTATGCACCCACTATTATATTAGGAGAACAAACATCACAAACCTGTAACTACTGCACTATGACGCCCTCCACAAGCAATTCCCTTCACATAGCTTCCAGGAATTCTACTACCCTGACCCTCTAAGCTTGCACTTCCTCGAGCGAGAGCTGTAGGTCTATCTTTTCCAAAAGAAGACGACTCAATGCAAGGTATAGGATGTGGAGAGGAAACCATACGTATGTGGGAGCCCAAACCTAGCTGTCCTTCTCCACCATAGCCCCAACCCCAGACTTGTCCCATATCTGAAACTTTGAAGACATTAGGCAAAGGCAATAGGCTACAAATCTCAAAATTTATTACGGGAACAAGTGGGCAATATCAATACTTTATATATCAGGATTACCTGACAATGCGAGGGTATGACGTCCTCCTGCAGAAACAGAGGCTATTCTTACACCAGGATTAAGAGTAACAAGACAGGGAAGTGCAGAGAGAGTGTCATCACTTGCTGACGAACTTTCATCTGCAAGTTTTGCTGATGAAACCCTTCTCCTCTTTGAACTTTCTGTGCCACCACCTCTAGCTTCAATATTGGAAAAAAAAGCACCAGTAGATCGTGAAGCTTGTAAGTGAGGGCTCACTGGCACAAAGAACATGAAAAGTCAGAGAGAAAAACTTCGATAACCCTCTTATCATATTTAAATTCGTGCAGTACATTGATCTATCACGGACGCTGACTGCCTCTCTAATACATCCCTTTCATAGCCAATCCCAACAGACAGATCACCAAAGATCTTTCCAGAAGGAACACATTCTTTCCATCCCCATGTGTAGACTTCTCCTCTATCTGCACATAAACAGTTAAAAAGACACTAGACCAGATCAATAGGCATTACAATATTCCTAGTGTATCTCACTCTTCAAAAATCTCTGAATAAGCAAAAAGACTCAAAAGAGAAGAAATGGTTTACCTGTAATGGCAGCACAATGGGCCCAACCTGCGGCTGCTTTTACTATAGAAGTTTCGTTTGGAAGAGGAAAAGGCTCTGGAGTTTCCTTGAGAAGAAAATTGAAATATGGCGACAGGTGAGTTCATTAAGAACTGAAAGTAAAATCATTGTATTTCAATGAACATTGTGTATGGCTTATACCCCATGCTTCCCAGACGTCACATAGCTTTGACCAAGATCATCTGTTGAGCCCCATGTTATGAGTTTTCCAGATGCTGGTTAAATGAGGAAAACATAAGACTAAATATCAAATAAAAGAGAGAATTGCATTGGAGAAACTATATAATCCAATATCAGCAATCATTGAAGATAGTAAACATTAGGATCATTAGTTAAATGAAATGTTGAGTAAATAATAAAACCCAAAATGTAATCAATAGAACTAAACAGATCAAGTACTGAAAAGACATTCAGAGGTACGGTTTTCGAACTTTTTGTTATTTAAAGAAAAAAAAAAACCCTAGAACTAACATCCTTCCTCGCTCCATTAAACAAATTTTCAGCCAGAAAAAAAGCACACCCCATAACATAATAGACTTGCATTCACCAAATCAACAGAATCCAGTTATGCAAGAATTGAAGAACCCACAAACTTCCAACTGAAAACATCAAAACCAGAATACAAACCCAGAAGAAGGGGAGAAAAAAAACCCATAAAAGAATCGCAAAACAAGTTCCAAAGAAAAATCACCAGAAATGGCCATGGCGAACCCGCAACCTCCACCGCAAACATCCTTCCAAGCGTGCCCATCAGTGCCATCCTTACCTGGAAGCCGAACTGCCACAGGAGACAGCAACGGGGACCTCTGCGGCAAAGCTCCAGGAAGATACCCCCACATATACACAAGCTTCTGCTCCTTGACATCCTCTTCCATTTTCACGATCTCTTCTTCGCCTCTGTTCCCCTCGCCATTCATATCGATTTACCGCCCAAAGAAGGAAAATTTAAAAATACCCACCAAAGAACAGGCGCTAATTTCTTTCGGGGTCTCTGATTTTCGTGCTGTTTCTATGCAAACAGGGAGTAATTCCAACTAGTGTTTGGTGGACTTGGGAAATGATACGGAAGAAGAGAAAAAACTGCCCTAAGGTTCAGACATTAAAAAAAGGGAAACGTATCATTTTCAGGGGAATGGGGAGTGCCACGTTGGATGCTTACGTGACACTCTTGACATGTGGCAATATCTGAGCCATCAGATCCCTGGACGATTTCTAGCCAGGAGTTAGCAGGAAGTTTCTGGAAGGACGACGTTTTAAAGCCCCTTTCTTTTTTCTCCAACTTTCATAGGCTACGTTTTGGGCGGTGACGTGGCAGGTTCTCACCCTTCCACGTGTTGAAAATGTGCTCGAAGTCCAATCATTATACCAGACCCCTTTTGAGTACCTACACACGTCATCTGTGGTCCCCTGCCCGTCAGCCTGAGTTGGTTGCCATGTGGGGTCCTGTCTATTTGTAACAATTGCTGAGACTGTAAATGTCACAATTTTAATTTTAAATTTTAAAAAAGTTATTGTGATGTTTACGAGTTTTCATTTGAAAATTTATTAAAGCAGTGTTTTTTTAAATTGGAAAATTAGTTAGTATGAAACTGAAAGTTGATCTTCCTGCGGAGTGAATTGAATATTTTATGAAATTCAAACCTAGTAAATGGACCCGAAACCTAGTGGAAGCTATGGACCTCAATATCACATCACTCCTTATCAACATCTATGTGTCAATTTTAATACATATACTTCATTTTGATTTCACAAAATCATAAATATCAAAACACACCTTGCAATCAATAATTTAAGGGCGACGTCAAAGTATGCAACCAACTATATAATTTTAAATTATTTTATATATAACGAGAAAATTCATTAACTGTATAAATATAACTATCTTTCCATTAAATTTTGTTTAAAATCAACTCAAAATTATCTAGATAAAAGTATTTTATTCTATTCAATTCGTTCATTCTTATATTTATCAAGTTCTTACTTTCAAAGAAAAAACTTAGAAAGAACAAAAAGCCCCTTAATATAAGTTGAAAGAGTCGCATACACTACGATAAAACTCATCTATTTTATTTCGAACAATTTTATAAAAAAAAGACTATCTTATATAAACCAATATGTTTTTGTTAAATAATATTTATTAAAAAAATTAAAAAAGTTTAAGCATCCAAAATTATGGTGGAGTTAAAATCTTCAGTTTCGTATTTTATATTTAATTAAAAAGAAAGAAAGAGGCTTCAACGTGGCAGAAGACCAAAAAGAAAGGAATTCCATAACAACGTAGGATGGAATCTCAGCCAATAAAGAATTAGTGGTATTTTAAAAATCGAGAAAAAAAAAAAAAAGAAATAAAGTTAGTGGTGAATTAATGGATAGGGCTTGTAAAGCCACGAGTTTCGGGCTGTAGACGCTCCTCAATTTTGGGCCTCAAATTATGGGCCAGCTCAATAAAAAAAATTGGGCCCTATTTTTAATGATTAATCAATCAAATGATTAGGTAAGGTCGGTCCCAGAGGAAGATCGGATAGGCATTCAATCATTCCAGTACGGACATTAATCGAGTGGTACCATAAGCCTCGACGAATGCTCAAGTCTTGAGCGGCTGAGATTCGCTTGCACGAAAAACACGCGGTAGGCCGAATGTACAGAACCCTGGCCCATCTAAATTATTATACCGTCATGAGATCCTAGCTCCATCTGGCTAATAATTGTAGATTATTTTTTGAAAAAATAATTAAGAATCTTCTTTTAGTTTAACTATTACACTGAGAAATGAAATCTTTAAATAGTAAGTATTCTTCATAACAATTTAAATTACCTCTATTGTTCTTTGAAAGTATTTCCGTTACAAAGGGTGTCATCTTTGGGTGGAGGAAATTGAAAAAAAAAGAAAGTGAAAACCAAAAAAAATATTCATGTCTGAGCCCGGGTTCGAACCGGGGACCTCTAGTGTGTGAGACTAGCGTGATAACCAACTACACCACCCAGACTTAGATGTTACAATGATTTTATAATTTTTTTAAGTAACGTAAATTCTAATTTTTTCGTCGTTTTTAGTGTCTTTTTTCAATATATAAACTGAAATAAAAGAATTTGAAAACAATAATATTTGAATGGTGCATGAATTCAAATATACGAATTTAATAACACATTTTTTTTTAATTATATATTAAAAAAAAAAAAAAGTTTTCTTTCCTTCGTGCGGTGAAACGCTTTTCTACAAATCGCATCTCAGCAGCCACTACGCAACTCACAATCCCACGAGGCCCACTTGTTCTTCATCCCCTTTTTACCCCATCTCTCTGCGCGCCCCCTTGCGCGTTTGATCCGCATTCTCCGTGCCCAACTCCTTATTCCTCACAAGGGTATTACGTTGCCGCCGGTTACTGGTTGGCTTCCGACGCCGGCAAGTGAGTCGACGGAGAGAGAGAGTGTGTTGGGTTTTATCGGGTATGGGTGGGTGTGGGGTCTGTCTTTGGTGAAGGAGTTGATTGAGGATCCTGAGTTTCTGATAGAGTCGGAGCCGCCGTCGAGTTACGGGGAGAGACTGGTGACAAAACTTCTGTTTGTTCGAATACGCGACGGCGGCGGTGGTGATGTTTCAGGTTGTTCGAATACGCGACGGCGGCGGTGGTGATGTTTCAGGGATTGGGAAGGCTTTGAGGCTTAGGTGTGTGCGCCGGTAATAATTTCGGACCGTCCGATTCAGGACCTGCCATTGATAGACACATTATGTTGGCAGGAGATGGCGGTGTTCGTCGACGGCGGTGGCGGAATTGAAGGTGTAAAGAGGGCATTGAGGCGCGTGGATGGGGAGGATCAGCAAACATTTTCAAATACAAATCTTGTAAAAATTTTAGAACCATATAAACCAAATTCAATACTTAACATAATTTCTTAAAATATAATACCAAAATCCATTTCCCATCTTTAAAAGGTAAAATCACCACTCACCAAAATATTATCAACACCCAAATCCCAACGATAACTGGAGCAACTTCAAAAAGTCATTGGGAGCATTCGCTAGAGCTTTAGATCATGGTAGATCTAACGTTTTATTTTTTTCTCTCATGCATCCAGCAGTTATGAATGAAAGTGAGAACCACAAATACCGCCGACATTCAATTTCTGGAATTGAAGTGTAGAGTCATAGGGAGCAATATAGAGAGAGTGATCAATAAACCAAGAGAACTCTAAGGTTTCTTAGATAGATGAAAAATCTTAGTGCTATATTCTACAATCATACTCCAGATATAGACAGACATAAAAGAAAAATATGAAACGATAAAATGAAACAGAAGAATTTGATCCATCCAAAGCATTTGGCCTGTCCCCTTCACTCATAAACATCTTTGTCCAATTTCGGGATAGGCCCCAACTCTCAGCATACATATATCTATCCTCCTTGAATTGCAGAAAGTTTAGAAGCTGAGCAACTTTATTTGCAGTCAGTTCCCTCAGTTGAACAGGTAAGGTAAAGAGGCCTGCGTGTAAACTTCATGCATTATATCTTTCAAGTTCCCAAGCTGCTTACACAGACAGCTCAAACAACCAGCTTAATTCAATACGTCCAGCAAACCAAACAAAAGGGCCAACAAAAATGTGCAGAGCAGAGCCTTCACCAAACCAAACAAGAAAGCCCTCCCATCGAAACCAGAATAACTCAAAGCACGAGCAAAAAAAAATGATAGAATATGCTTGGATTACGCCTATTGTGTTCTTAAATGGCATAGATTCAGATAGAAAATTCTGGCATGCACACGTACGCAAAGACGTGTACGTAAAAATTCATTGATGCTTGTAAAGTAATATACCAGTACATGATATGGAGTACCCAAGGAAGTTATCAAATGAAATAATAGGAAAAGTTTACCTTAGTTAAGACCAGGACAAAATGCATTCTGCCATCACGTTCTTGCAGGCATTATGATTTTATTACCCTTTTTCTCAGATGGTTTAAGAATCTGGAAAGAGCACATCAATTCTTCATCAACACTCATCAGTGCACCGGCATTATCGAATTCACCACAGTAGTTGGGGGCCGAAAATATCGTGACAAGTTGTCTTTCGTTAAAGAATTCATATCCATCCTCCACAACCTAAGCCAACAAGAATTTTATCTCAGAAAACAGAGAAGAGAAATCAATGAGAAACATGAGAATTGGGAAAAAAAAAAATGTTAGCTTGTTCTACCTGATGGGCACGACAGATAAGATCCAAGTCATGTGTTGCTAAGAACTCTTGCAACTTATCAGGGCCAAAGGTGTATGAGACTCCTCTATCATTCATTCCCCAACCTTTGACCTCTTTACTGGGATCTGACCAAAGCAAATCACAAAGCAGGCCAGTGTCGGGAATGACTGTCGGACGAGACAAGTTTCTTATTTGATCCAAGTTTGTCAAATCAGGTGAGAGACCACCATGCATACATAATATTTTGTCATCAATTAGAGCAGCTACAGGGAGGCAGTTAAAGCAGTCAGTAAATGCCTTCCATAGTCTCACATTAAAGCGCCGCTTACATTCATCATAAAACCCATAAATCCTATTGATAGAAGCACATTCGTGATTTCCTCTGAGAAGGAAAAAGTTTTCAGGATACTTGATCTTGTAGGCAAGCAAAAGACATATGGTTTCTAGACTCTGCTTGCCACGATCAACATAGTCTCCAAGGAACAAATAATTGGCACTGGGTGGAAACCCCCCATATTCAAAAAGTCTTAATAAATCGGTGAACTGCCCATGAATGTCACCTGAAAATGCAAAAGAAAAATGAAAGGCATATAGTCAGAAAGGCTAACCCACATGCATCAGGCCATTACAAATTGAATATCACCCATTCTTTATGCAAGAAAATAAAATTCAGCCATGATATGAATCCTCATGCTATTCATTGCGTCCTCAGAAGTCGGTTGGGACCAAATTGATATTGGGGTTTTCGAGTTAATATTGTGAGGGTCTGAATATCAAAAAAACTTTCAAGTTTATTCTTGGAGGCTTCATATCAACAATGCTCGTCAAGGAGGCTGGCCAATCGAAAGTTTCGTTATCTTATATACGATATCACAGAACATTCAGAAAGAAAACAAATACATATCCCAATTCTCCC